TATATATATATATATATATATATATAGTGTATGTCTGAGGATCCTGGTCCAAAACACAGATGCAGGTTTCTCACTAAATACAGGAAAAAAGAACATTGTAATCCTGTCAGCTTTTCTACACTGCCTCCCAATTAGTTTTAGAATTGTGTCCAAGATTTTATTGAAATGAAAACCTATGAAGTTCAAGCAGGTCTTGATCCTTTTAACTACATATGTCCCTGAGACTGAGATCCTCAGTTAAGACACTATTAAATCATCCCGAAATCCCAATAAAAGACCAAGAGGAGCTTTGTCTCTTTAAGCTCCTGTTCTTTGGAAGAGCCCACTCCCCTCAGGAAGGAGGTTGAGGAGCATTAAGTGCAGAACCACTAGACTGAGGAACAGCTTCTACCCTGAGCTGTTAGACTCATGAATCTCTAACCAGAATAATCACTGTGAAAAATTACATCATGTTGCTGCTGATCTGTTTCATGTTGATGTGTTCATGCGTGCTCATGTGCTCACTCATGTTCGTGCTGCTGTTCGACGTAATGTTTTTATGCTACTAGTGCTTAGTGTATATTTAGTTGATGTTTTTCTTAGTTCATATCTTAGATGTTATTACTGTTTTTCTTTTACATTTCATTGTTGGATGTAACTGGGACCCTGCGTACATAATTTTGTTCCACCACATGCACCACATGAGATGTGAATGACAAATAAATCTCTCTGGCTCTGACTCTCTGATTCCTATTCTATTTTAAGTCTCTTTTAAAGACACGTTTGTACAGAAACACCTTCACTAATCTCTGCCACCAAACACCAAAACATTTTTCTTCTTTCAGCTGCTCGCTCCCTTCTTCAGGGGTCGCCACAGCGAGCTAACTTGCACGAAGACCCGGCAATTGTTTTTACGCCGGATGTCCTTCCTGACACAACCACAGACCACCGAGCTACCACTGCACTCTGTGTGGAGCAGAGAGCTGCCATCTAGGGCACCTAAGGGAGCAGATGATGGGGGTTAAGGGCCTTGCTCAAGGGCCCAGAGTGGGGCAAATGAGGGTTGAGGCAGGTGTGGGTGTTTCACCTTTTCAACCCACATTTTGATGTTGCCAGTCCAGGGAATCGAACCAGCGACCTTCTGATCACAGGCTAGCCTTCTCTAACCTCTGTGCCACCACTCCCCACATTAAATGCCAAAAATGTTAATAATCTTTTTATTACCACTGCCTATATTTTCATTTAATCTTTTATCAAACTGAATGTTTTTAATGTCCTATTTTTTGTCTTAATTTTATCTTTTATCCATTTTATTATTTTTATCATTCCCTGTATAAGTGCTATATGTTGTCTATGTCTATATGTTGTCATCATCATTTTATGTTCCCATACAATGAAAAAATGAGTTCTCTACATTTAACCCATCACACCTGGAGAACACCCAGGTGGAGCAGTGGGCAGCTATTGAGCACCTGGGGAGCAATTAGGGATTGGGTGTCTTGCTCAGAGACACCACATCATGTGGGAATGACTGGGAGTTGAACCACAGCTTTCTGGTCCCAGGGTGGCTGCACTGCCTCTACCCCATCTCGGCCCCCAAGGTGTACCAAGGTTTTGTATATTCTGTTATAAAGTACCTTGAAACTATCCTGATGCATGCTCAATAATCCAGGTAGAAAAACTTGAAACTAAGTTATGAAAAGTGCTGTGTAAACATGTTTACTATTAAATGATTATTTTTTATTATTAACATGAAAAACTTTAGCAAAATAAAAATTGACCTGTGATGATCAGCTGATTCTGTCATTTACAGTTCAATATTTTATTTTTAAGTAAAACTTCTTTCACAGTGCTCTTTTTGTCTAAGGCCTAATTTCTACTTTCTGTCTGCATGCCTGATTATTGCAGGGAGAGAGACACACAGGTGAGTGGTTACCATGGTGACTATGAATACCTACAGGCAGTAGCTTTAAAAATACAATCATTCTTGGTTCTCTTTACGGTTTTTATACAGTTCATACATCAAAATGTAGTTTTCCATCTTAAAAACATACAAAAGAAAGTCTCAGATTATTGTTGAGCTTTAAAAAAAGAATGATGTTAAAAACTGCATTGGTTATTGCTTTTTAATTTAATTTAATTTTTATATTCAAAGTTTTTCTATTTTCTCACTCTAATACTCAAGTGAGGGTGCCACGGTGGCTCAGTTGGTAGAGCTGTTTCCTCTCAGTGAGAAGGTCTCCGGTTAAAAACCCGGCCCAGGACCTTTCTGGGTGGCGTTTGCATGTTCTCTCTGTGCATGCTTGAGTTTTTTTACAGGTAAAACATGCATGTTAGGCTGACTGGTAACTTTAAATTGTCCCTAGGTGAGAGTGAGAAAGTGAATGTTGTTTGTCTCATTTGTCTCTATGTGTCCCTGTGATGGACTGGAGACCTGTCCAGGGTGTCCCCCACCTCTCACACAGTGATGGCTGGACATGGGCACCAGTGAACCCTGTGACCCAAAAAGGAAGAAACGGATAAAAAGTAATGGATGGATGGATGATACTCAAGTGAGAAAATCTGAAAACATTAGATAATCAATGATCATCGTTAGATATTAGGTCTCTCTTGAAAAGGAGTCCTCGTGACTCAATGAGACTAACCTGTATAAAGGTTAAAGGAAGAAAGAAAAAACAATAACCACCAGATGTGGCCACAAATCTTTTGGAAAACCAAAAAGTCAAAGACAGGATATATCTAGACTGTGCAAAACTTTTCAGTTGTGCTGACGAGCAGATACTGAAGTACCTGTGTTCCAGGTGTTGTTACAGCTGGCCCAGGGCAGTACAGCATGGAACGAAGAGAAAAAGTAGAAGAAGGCCCAGGCCATTATGATGATGTAGTACGTTGAAGTGTAGACCATAATAATCACACTACTGTATCCTAATCCTGTTAAGAAAAGTTCAAGACTCAACATAAAACAACTCACATGTTGAGCAGCACTCTGCTGCACTGAATTGAACATTATTTTTCCAAATAGCATTACCTTCAAAGATAGGACATAACTTCCTCCAACATGTGATTCCACCCTGACCGGTCAACTGTCCCAAAGACACCTCCAGAAAGAAGGTGGGGATTCCACAGCAGAGCACCATCAAAACATATGGTACCAAGAACACTCCTAAACCAAATGATGAAGCAAACAGAACATTTTAAATGTACCAAGAAACTATTTTATGCTGAGTAGCATTTTGCAATAGATAAACCACATGAATCCAGGTAAAAATCAAACAACGTAAGTCAGGTCCTCTGGACAGGTTCTTTTTTTTAAATGTTTCATCTTTCATCCAAAAGACTTTGACAGTCCAAGGAGCCTCAACAAACTCAGTCCCATAAGTAGCACACTCAGTGGGCCAACCAGTTTGAAACATAATAATAATAATAATAATAATAAAGAAACCGTCCAGAGGACCTGACTTAACTTTGTTGGATTTTTACCTGGATTATTGAGCATGAACTTTGATATTTTGCACCACTTTGGTTATGGGTGCCTCAGAGGAGTCAACGAGGGGAGAGGGCGGACTCCAGAAACCATCTTATCACCATCAAACTACTGTAGTTGGCCCACTATGTGAGCTTGTTTGTTGTGGCTCCTCAGACTGATGAAGTCTTCTGGATGAAAGACAAAACGTTTCAACAAAAAAATAAAACATCCAGAGGACCTGACTTAAATTTGTTGAATTTTGCAATAGCGTTTTAAAAGTTGCTTTTGAAGATTAAACTGGGGTGTCAATGCTACAAGAAGTGAATCACTAGCTAAAAAAGACAAATACAAGCTAAAAGACAAAAGTAGCAAACCACTAACTAATAAAAAAACAACAAAAAATAATTTGTTTGGTGTTTCCTCAGACTGATGAATGGAGGGCGAAACATCTCAGCACAAAAAAAAGAAAAAAGAAAAGAAAGAAACTATCCAGATGACCTGACTGAACATTGTTGAACAAAAAATAAAGCTAAATACTAAATGTAAACTAGTTAAAAGCAGAGAACATCAAAAGGCTGGTTAGAAGCTAAAAGTTGAAAAAGGCCAGCTTAAAGTTAAAAGTAGCCAAATGGAACAATGTTCTAATGGAACTGAAAACTTCCTATTGTTTTTCTACGGGTAAAATAGTTGTAAATAAAATTTAAAATTGAAAGTTACAAAATCCAAAAATAATAATGCTCACCCCCTAAGCTGAATATTTGTATATATAAATGGATAACATAGCACAAAGTATGAAGAAGTAGATGTCTTCTTCTTTTTTCGGCTTTTCCCTCTTCAGGGTCTCCACAGCGAGTCATCCTCCTCCATCTCACTCTGTCCTCTGTCCTCACTCCAACTACCTCCATGTCCTCTCTAACTGCATCCATATGTCTCCTCTTTGTCTTTTTCCTGGCAGCTGCATTTCTAACATCCTTCTACCAATATACTCACTGTCCCTCCTCTGGACATGTCCAAACCATCTCAGTCTGGCCTCTAACTTTATCTCCCAGTTGTTCAACCTGTGCTGTACCTCTGATGATCTCATTCCTAATCTTATCCATCCTTGTCACTCCTAAGGAGAACGTCATCTTCATTTCTGCCACTTTCAGTTCTGTCTCCTGTCTTTTTGTCCATGTCTCTGTCTCCAGACCATACAACACAGTTGGTCTCACCTCTGTCTTGTAAACTTTTCCTTTGACCTTTGCTGACATCCTTTTGTCACAAATCACTCCTGAAACTTTTCTCCATCCACTCCATCCTGCCTGGCCTCTCTTCTTCTCCTCTTTACCACATTCCCCATTTCCCTGGACAGTGGACCCCAAGTCCTTGAAGTCCTGCACCTTTGACCTCTGCTCCTTGTAGCCTCACTGTTCCACCTCCTCCCTCTCATTCACACACATGTACTCTGTCTTACTACGGCTGACTTTCATTCCTCTTCTTTCAAGTGCATACCTCCACGTCTCCAAGTTCTCTTCCACCTGTTCCCTGTTCTCACCACAGATCACAATGTCATCTGCAAACATCATAGTCCATGGGGATTCCTGCCTGATTATTGAGCGTGCATGAGGATATTCCTGCCTGACCTCATCTGTTAGTCAGGTCCATCACAAAAGCAAAAACAAGGGGCTCAGAGCCGATCCTTGATGCACTCCCACCTCCACCTTGAAGCTATCTGTCACTCCTACAGCACATCTCACCACTGTCCTGCTGTCCTCATACGTCTTGTACCAGTCATACTTCTCTGCCACTCCAGATTTCTTCATGCAATACCACACCTCCTCCCTCAGTACCCTGTCATATGACAGGGTGTCACACATATGAAGAAGTAGATATGTTGCACAAAAAAGAAACAATAGTGTGAATGCTGAATCAGCATTCATACATTTACAGTAAATGCTTTTTTTTCATAACTGCTGAAGCCGATCCTGTTGAAACTTTCAGCTTTCCTCCACTCACCTCCCCCGTTTTTGAAGCACAGATATGGAAATCTCCAAACGTTGCCCAGACCGATGATTTCCCCGATCACTGCTAAAATGAACTCCCTTTTGTTGGCCCACTCGCCCCTCGCTGCAGGTACTGATTCAAAATGACTTGAAGCATTGCGGTCTTTCATGGGGTGTGTTTCTGTAGGGGTTGTCAGTGCCATGAAGGCTGGTTTGCTGCACACACAAAAAGTGTAAACAACTTGACACGAATAATGTAACATTTTTAGGCATTTTGTTTAAACAAAGACTAAAATGTCTTGCCTGATGCTGAAAGGTGAAGGTAGATGAGATTATTTTTGCTCCTGAAAGTGTGTGCGTGCATGTGTGTGTGTGTGTGTGGGGGGGGGGGGGATTAGCTCTAGTAGTGAAGCCCATTTCAGCTAAAAGACCCTAGTAAACATTTTTTTTTTTAAATACAGTTTTGTGTTTTCTAAGGTCAGTTGGTTGTGGTGGCCATTATGAATCAAACTGACTTGAAATATGATCAGTTCCAGATGTTCATCCATTGATTACTAGTTCCAGATGTTCATTCATTGATTACTTTTTTTTAAAAGATTCAAAATGTGTCCAGTGGTTCATGAGAGATTTTGGTAACAAACAGATACCGCACACAAAGAAAAAGGCAAAAAGGTATACTCAGTTTCCTTAAAGATTTAGCATTAACCATTGAAGTCCACCCAGTTTGTTAGCAAAATATTTCAAAAACCGTTGGACAGTTTTACATAAAATTTTCAATAAGTAATCATCAGAATGATTAGTGTCAATACAGTTAAAGACGTCTGTCACAGCAAAATTAGCCAACACAAAGTTAACTATAACTTAGATAATGGGCGGCCGTGGTGCAGTGGTAGTGGCAGCCGACCTCTGATCGGAAGGTTGGAGGTTCGAATCCCGACTTCCCACACCATGTGCCGTTGTGTCCCTGGGCAAGACACTTAACCCCGAGTTGCTCCCGGTGGGACTGGATGGCGCCTTGCATGGCAGCCTACCGCCACCGGTGTATGAATGTGCGTGTGAATGGGTGGATGGCTGGTACTGTAAAGCGCCTTGGGGCCCCTCATAGGGGGCTGGAAGGCGCTATAGAAGTAAGCTCCATTTACCATTTACCATTTTACCATAATATTAAATATACTGAGCACTTTGGTGTGGTAGTAGCTGGGACTCATTCTCAACACAAACTATGAAATGTTGCAATGTCTCATAAAAAGTTATTTTCAAGGTTTAATCTTTTGATTAAGCTGCATCTCCAAAATTTTCCTACGTAAGATGATTTGGCAGACGTTGGCATGAAAGGCTGCAAGTCATATGAATTCCTTTAACTCAAACCAACATCACTTTTTCAACAGGCCAAAAAACTTCCCTAAGTTCTTTCTCTTCTGAATAAGTTCCTCATTTCTTTCTTACAACTGACTAAATTTTTGTCAAATAAAAGTAATTGGTTGTGTTAAAGTTATTTGTAACAAATGTCAACAAACTGTAAAACAAAAATCTACCTGTAAAGTTCTTCAGTTGATTCAGTAGGTTTGTGCTGAAACAGTCAGCAAGCAGAATATCCACAACACATCCGGTCCGACACCCTTTAAGTTTAAAAAGCAGAAACAGAACCCGATACAACTATATAGTACTGAAGCCCAGTTCTCAGTGGGTGAATTTTGCATAAGTTAGGACTAATTTGACAACAGATCGTGACAGAGCATGTCCTAGTCACACCCACTGGCCAGCAGACCCTGACAAACAGCAGAAACATGGTTAAAATGTCATTTCTCAACCAGCCCTCCGGCTTCAAACTGTAGAATATAATATCAAATAGCTGAGTTGTTGGAACATGCCAACAGTGAGGTAAAGCGACATAAGAGGTTGCCTCTGTAACGGACTGGAAAGTTTTTCTGGCCTCCCAACATCACAGCTGATGAGCCTTGTTATCTGTCACTGCATGTAATCTTGACCTCCAATTTGCTGGTCTCTGTTGTCTTTGATCTGTGACGAAACCTGTGCTCCACACTAACTGATAAAGACAAACACCACAAAGGACATGGTCATTACTGGCCATCACCAAAGCCAATATTTTTGCCCATGCCTGTGTGTGTGTGTGTGTTTGTTCCTTTATCTAAATATTTCATGAACTAGGGGATGATTTTTTTTAACTCTAATCCTAGGATCAAGTTGACTCTTAAAATGTGGAAAACCATATATATTTTTTTCATTTACCCTTTATTTATCCAGATAGTCTCACTGAGCCACGAGAACTCATTTTCAAGAGAGACCTGTTTAGGGGGCAGATGGTGGGAGTTAAGGGCCTTGCTCAGGGGCCCAGAGTGGGGCAAATGAGGGTGGAGGCAGGTGTGGGTGTTTCACCTTTTTCACCCACATTTTGATGTTGATGGTACCGGGAGTTGAACCTGCGACTTTCCGATAACAGGCCCATCTTCTCTAACCTCTGTGCCACCACTCCCCCACATAACATGACTTGCTGATTCATGCTGAACACATGTGCAGGAAGGAAATGGGAGACTCCGAGTAAAAATAAGTAATTAATGGCACCTGACATCCCCGAGCAAAATTATCTGCAACTTGGGTGGGAAGAGGGTGGTAAAAGGACAGAGGGCACAGATGCCCCTTTTCCATCAGTAACGGTACAGCACGGTTTGACTTGACTCGGCATGGTTCCAAGGCTTTTCCACTAGTAACAGTTCGTAGAACCGGTCCCCTTTTTCAGTCCTTTTAACCCCTTTTCCATAGGTGCTCTTCAGCACAGTTCGACTTGGCTCGGTCCAGTTCCAAGGCTTTTTCCACTAGCAATTATTTTGTGGAACCGGTCCCTTTTTCAGTACTCATTTCTCTGGGGTTACACCCGGGCCGAACTGGCACCAAAACGTGACATCAAAACACTGTTGATCACTGATTGGTCAGAGGACAGAGTCACTGGTTGTTTGAGAAACTTTCACAACAACCTGATTCGCCATTTGCAGTTACTCTTACTTGGAGCAGCGGCTGTATCTATTTTAAGATTTTAAAAACAATAATGACAACACAGTGGTCTCATACTGAAGTCCAGGCATATTTTGTTTGGTGACTGACGACAAAATTCAGAGTGAGCTAGTCACTGCAGAGGATCATACGAGCTGCCGACCCGAAGAAGCATGCGAGGCCAGACCCCGAGCCCCAGCCTCGCGTGCTTTCAAAGGCCGGACCCCGAGCCCCGGCAGACGGGCAGACCGGGATGTGTCTGGGATGGAGAGTGGAAACGATTTTTGAAAACATTTTACATATAAAAAATGTTTGTTTTCTAATCAGTCAAGATTAAACAAAGGTAAATAAACAGTGCTGGCTTTATCATGAAATCCTGTTTTCACTTTAATAACTTTATTAAATAATCTGTTAAGGTTAACTTAGCTGAAAAATGATAAAAGGACACAAAATTATTGGATCTCTCAGGAATATTTCCCTCAAATATGTTTAAAGAAGAGCTACAGCCTTTAGTTCAACTTTCTTCTAACCCACTGATGTACAAATCACAAAACAAGAATTAAACTGTAAAGCAAATCTAAAATTTATTTTTTTTTAAAAATCTGTATACAAGAAACAAAACCACATATCTAAATTGAACAATAAAATAGACCCAATGAGTGCAAATACATCAAATCAATAACAACCTTAAAACTAAGCTCGGCAGACCGCAACTTTTACGGACATCATCGTGGAGACAGTTGTTCAGGGAACGGGACGTCACTCCGTGACTTTATTAAAAGGAACAACAGGTTAGTTTGAAGCAGGGCTGTTCAACTGACGGCCCGCGGGCCAAGTCAGGCCCACAGGTGAGCTAAGTTTGGTCCACCAATGGGTTCACTCTTAAAACGAAACTAGAGTTTTAACTATAAAACAATCTAACTTGATGATAAGAACTAGTGGATATCTGACCCCTGAGCGCTTGGCTCTCAGTAACTGTGGCCCCCTGGGTGGTTTAGTTGAATAGTCCTGGTTTAACGCTTGGAACACTAGGGGTAAATTAACTGGCATTTGTAAATAAAATGTAAAGCACAGCTCGGTAAGGTGTCTGCACTGGTGGTGGTGAACGGTGTCAAAGCTATTCTTTTTCTTGTTTGTTTGTTTGTTTATTTGTTTTGTTTTTTTGTTTGGTTTTTTTCCCTCTCTTTTCCTTTTTATTTTATTTTTTATTTTTACTATTTTCTCTATTACGTTTATCTGTTACCACATCACTTCATCAGTCTTTTTCTCTTCTTTACCTCCCAACAAACATTTACACACAAGCACACCAAAACACACACACACACACACACCAGAGAACTTTATATCTTTCAACTTCTCTCACACTCAGCTTCTACTCAATATTCTTGTATCTTTCCACTTCTAACATCACTGTGTGTTTCTAAACATCTAAACAGTCAACCTCAAGCAATAACTGTGATTTTAGTTGGATCTGTTTGTCTCTATGGTGACATGCGCTGGTCAACTTTAGCTACTCACGCACAACTATGGGCACATTAAGGTTTGTGACTTGGAATGTGAATGGAACCAGTACTCAGCAAAAAAGATTAGGAATTTTAAACCAGCTTAAAAGACTACAGGCAGATGTTGTCTTTTTACAAGAGTCTCATAAATCTATTACAACTGCAGATGATCTTAGATCACCTGATTTTCCTAATGTGTTTTGTGCCTGCTATAACTCAAGACAAAGGGGAGTGGCAATATTAATACACAAAAATGTTAATTTTACAGTACTAGACACAGTTACAGACCCAGAGGGTAGATATTTAATAATAAAACTTTATATAAATAACTATAAGTTGTGTATTGTCAGCATATATGCCCCAAATGTTGATGGCCTCTTTTTTTCATGATTTTTTCTCAGCACTTTCTGATCACTTGGATTGCTCACTTATACTTGGAGGTGACCTCAACTTTGGTCTAAATGAAGAATTAGACAGATGTAGTAGAGCACGAACTCAGCGTAGTTGGCAGTCCATAAATATAGTTAAACA